TTAGGCAGGTGCTCAAACGTCATGTCTAATTATATGTCACGTCTTGTAGATTAAGATACTGCATCAACTTGGTCATAGTTTTTAATTAAAAATAGATTTTTATTCAGCTTTGATATTGAAAACACAAAAGACATTTTGTAGCACTGCAGTTTCTCTCAAATAAGTATTCCAAATGTCATTTCTTTTTCTTTCAAATCTTTACCTTTCCTTCAATATGTTGAAAATATATCAATATCAGAAAATATGATAATAGACTAGTGCAATCTGTGACTTCCTTGAACTGCCCAGTACTAGGTTGGTCAATATCAGATTTGGTTTCCTTAAAGCGTACAAATTCCTTCACCATTCTCCCCATTCTTCCGCGCCTTCCAGACTTTTGCAAACCTTAATTAAAACAATAATTGGTTTCACGGCCTCTGCCAATACTGCTCCGGGGGAGAGAGAACGAACTCCACAATATTTTAGTCAAGGATGAGATCTCAGCAAGTGGAGATTGAATCTGCTTCCAACTAGTCTGTAATGTTACAACAAACTTTGGCCTCGCCAGTACAGGATGAGTCTTGTACGCAATCCAAATATTTTTCACCAGAAGGTTGTGAAAATATTGAATAAATTCAGTGGCATAACAAGGCCCCAGGGTGCAACACTTTAAGAGCCCCTTTCCTGATTCCGAATTCTAAAATGTTGCTTATCCTTAACCTTCTTCATCTCCTTGTGTTCTCTCTCCCTCCCTCCACAGTGAGGAGTGAGAGAACGCCAGTCGTTCCACCACCAATGGGTTGGGCCCCACAACCATGTGGGCACTGACATGGCTGCACAACTTGCACCATTGTGGTTAGACGACTGAACAAATTGCCTCAGAATACCACAGATAGCGGGTTAATTGAGGGCATTCAAGAAAGATACATAGAAATTGTAGCCTGTAAGTATATTAATGGAAATGCAGAAAAGGTGGGGAAAATTAAAGTGAATAGTCACAGTTAATGCCAGGGCAGGCTCAGCATGCCAAATGGCCTTTTCTGGTTTCTGTTTGATTTCTTGTCTGCTATAAGCTATTTTCACCTGCGGATTATTAGCTATGGAAAAACAAGTGAAATGCTATAATTGCCCTGGGCCAGGATCAACTTTCACCCTATCTCAATACATTTTGATCCCCTGTCTCAGTCATCTTTGGCACCTTCACAAGTGGAGCAGGAATGTTTTACTTGACTTTTAATTTTTTTAAAAAAATTGAAAACGGTAGTTAGTATCCTGAAACGAGTGGAGAGAAAAAAAGTTATTGTTAACCAGACCAATAGTCTACAAGGGCCAGAAGTGCTCATTGTTCTTGATGTGTAAATTCATTGTTATCTTTTTGAACATTCATCTCTTCATTTTACACTACTGGGCATCTTCTTAACATAGATATCTGTAGAATAAAGTTCTCCCTTGAAAGATAAACTGGAATCCCAATCTCTCCCTTTGCCCGCTTGCTAACAATCTTAACACTGATGTCCTCTAGTCATGGACTAACTGACCAGTAGAAACAATTTCTCTCTTTCTACTCATTTTTTGTTTTACTTAGGTGTTAGCATGGTTTAAATGGTAACACTCTCGCTTCTTGGTCCGAAAGTTTATAACTTTGGTATCACCTCCTGGAAGTCCTAAAGGATACAATAGTTATATTAACACCCCCCATCAACACTCCTCATAATGTTAAAAACCTCTATCTGGTCTCTCTTCAACCTTCTCTGTTTCAATGAAAATAGTCCCAGTTCCTCTCATCTCAGTTCGTAGGCCTTCCAGTATTGTGAAAGACAGGTGGAATCTTTCTTTCGCATCCAGTCTTTTTCGGACCGAATGTGCAGTCGAAGAGGAGGGTCTTGACACATTCCTTGAAGGAGGCAAGGGAGGAAGCAAAGCAAAGGGACTGTGGAATGGAGTTCCAACAGATTGGGGCAGAGAAGCTGAATGCCCGACTGCCGATGGTGGAGCAGGCCAGAGCCTGAGGGAACAGACATGTTGATATGGGGTTAGCAGATCACAGAAATAGGCAGGAGGAAGGAGGGCCTTGAAGGCGAGGACAAGGATTTTGAAATCTATCCTCTGGGGGATGGGGAGCCAATGGAGCTGGGTGAGGGTGGGGGTGGTAGGGTCATGAAGCCTGGTGCTTGAGAGGACACGAGCTGCAGAGTTCTGGATCATCTGAAGCTTGTGGAGGGAAGAGTGGGAAGGCCAACAAGCAGAGTTGTCAGAGTAGAGTCTCACAGACCAGTGACTGAGGACTGGGATTCTTCCCACTTGCCTTGCAATAACCTTGGAGCCAAAGCCCAAATGGGTAGGGTGGTCCTAGATTGTGAAGCAGTGGGAAGCTTACCAGTGCTCTGCAATGGTAGGTTGTGTGATTTTAGTACGTGAGACTGGATCAATTAGAAGGTTGTTGGTCCAAGTAGGGACTTGGAACTCATATCGTCCTTTCAGTCTAAGATGACACTCAAAGGTTGTGCTGCATTGCTGGAGGTACCGTCCTTGGATGAGACTCGAAACCAAGGACCCTCCGCCTTTTCAGTTGGTTGTTGAAGATCCCATGGCATTATTCAAAAAGAGAAGGGAGTTTCTCATGGTGTCCTGGCCAACAATCCCCCAAATAAAATTGTTTTTTCACTCCTTGACTGTTTGTGGGAGATTGCTGTGTGCAAATTGCCTGCCGCATTCATCCACAAAACTGTCACTCCGCTTCACGCTAAATACTATGAAGAGCTTCGAGACATAATCTTGACATGAAAGGCGTTATATCAAATGTAAGGATTATTATTAATGTCTTGCCCCAGAGGGATGTACCCTGCTCAACTCAATCCAAGGAATTTAAGTGCAGATTGGCAAGCCAAGGTTTGGGGACTCCAGGGTGTGCATTGGGGTACTACTGGAGTTTAACCAGCTAAAACCACACAGCCTACAATTGTAGAGCACTGGTAAGCTTCCACTAGATTATCCAGACCTCCACAGAAGATCAAATCGATTCCCATTTTTCATTGCCAGGCACATCACCTTGAACTCAGCCCCAAAGAATTCCTGCTTACCTTCAGCTTCACCCACCCTCCAAAGCATCACTCCTTGAACATAAGACATCTAACAAGCACCAATGCAATCCTTGCACAGGTTCAGTCCTTGCTAGGTGGACAGTAGACCAGATGGATAAGACTTGAGAGCTCCATGATGAGCATCTTAAAACGTCACTCTCCATTTTTATGCTATCAATACTATTTTGCGTCCTCTGTTACTACTCTGACCTTTCTTCTCAAGCTCTGAAGACACTCTTCCACATACATTTACTCCTCATTACATTCACAAACTATTCAAACTAAAACTCAATTACTCAAGACTTTACTACAACCTCAACTACTGACCTCCCTTCTTCTTTCTCTTCCGTCGTCCAATCAAATTCTTTGTTACATCTGGCACTGGTTTTATTAAACTCACGAGACTTAAGCATGAATTGAACCCAGCAGGATTTGGACCCAGGAAATGGATGATTTATTCATTCAGAAAAAAAGGTGATTTAAAATCCATATTATTCAGTCATGTGACAAATAAGGAATTCAATCCTATTTTAAGCAGATTACTTCTCTTTGCACCCCCTATAATTGGCAGAGGTTTTTAATCTACTGGCTTTAATACTGTTACCAGCCTGTTGAACTCCTGCTGTGAAATTGAAATGTCATTGCTACCGCTAGACTATACATTTAATTAGATATAACAATAAGTAATAGATTTCACCTGCTGTATGGTGTGAGTGGTGGGGGGGGGGGGGGGGTTCACAGGGGTTAATGAATAATAATCAACAATGAAAGCCTTGACATTTTTCATCGGTCTAGCCCAAGAACACTGAAGTCAGTTACACCAAGTGCACTGTAGATCTGACTCAGATCACCTATCACAGAACAGAATGGGGATCAAACCTCCAACCTCCTTGCTTGCATTGCCCAGTGCTACAGATTTACCCACTGACTTTAAGCAGCTCTCCTTATTCAATCTACAAAAGAAAAATATTAGTGACATGCTATCACGCAGCTAGGAACATTTAATTCGTCAATTATTCCACTTCAATCAATAGATCCACACAGTCAAAAGTACAAACTCGAATACAGCTTTGTGATTAAATATAGATCACCGTTCACAGCCAATACATTATTACACTATGATGCCCAATGCTTTGCAAAGCATTGGGCTTCATAGTGTAATAATGTTTGTAGTTTGCTTTGCATCTGCTCCAGTTCAATAAATCTGTCAATTAGTCAGCGATTTCAGTGTTTCAGTATTGCAATATTGCTAAAAGACTTCTGGAAAACAAGCCCTGAATAAAGAGCTCCAAGCAGCACAATGAATCAAACAGTCTTACGCCCTTGATACCTGCAAAATTCCCTATTATTAACTGGACTACCAGGGCAGCAGTAATGAATGGATATGTCACCTTGTCTCACAAAGAAAGCAAATAAAAATATTGGGCAAGTCAACATCTAGCCTGCTTATACATGCCTGCTTATCACTAGCTCAAGAATATTATAGGCAAAGGCTTGGGTACAAACCGACTTGCACCTCACCTCTTTCTCTAATTGCTGAGGAATTATTAACGTGTTTAGGAGTGTTTCGAAAGGGGAGATGAAGGGCAGAGACTAAACTGGTAAAGGACAATGCAGAGGAAAAAATATTAAAGGAGAGAAATTAACTGTTTCAAAGAAAAAATTGAAATACAAGTTCCAATACCCCAACAGCGCTGTACTTTTGCCAGTTTGCTGTAATTAAACTGTCCATTTCTGATACAACATAAATGAATGCAATAGGAAGTCAGTACATATGCGTTTCACCCACAAAATATACAGTCAATTTACTTTACAGTATATTCTGTGAAGCGCTTGTCTCGAAGACATGATAAGGCGCTATATCAAATGCAAGGATTATTATATGGAGTATGGCAAACGAAATATGGGATTAAATTGCATAAAACGCACAGAAAACAAAAGTGCAGTGGAAGCATTTGCAAACAGGTTTATTATTAGCACTGTAGTTTTCCGAATCTATTGTTCCTTTCCCCATATCTAAATGGCACACACCTCATCTGTACCTCATAGTTCATCATTGTAGACCATTTGTGGCAGCTAGATAAAACTACAAAACAAGTTTATACATTTTAAAAACCTTTCGCTATTTTATTCGCAACTATTATTAAATACAAAGAATATAGACGGATATATTTCCCATTTATAATTTCATGTAAACAAAAGTAGCAGAAATGTACATAACAGATTATTTTTTCTCCAAATTTTCACCTGTCAATTAATTAAAACTGTAGTTTCTGTATTACTGATTAAACGTTGGTGCTAACTTATACTAACTAAAGCTCAAAATTCTTTCGGTCTTTTAACACTTGCACTAAAAGTGGTCCATCAGTTTCCGCTGACCCTTCACTGGTTGAAATGAATGACATTTTAAACGCGGTCCCAAATCCTTTTCCAGAGGTATCAGTCCAGGTGCAGGGTACCACACGGATCTGAGTTTTTGTAGTGTAAAAAACCTCTTCATGATTTGGAAAAAACACAACAAAAGGATTGCGGAATCAAACGTTCTCCATTTTCCACAGATGGTTGAAGCGGCAGTAAGGGCGCTCTGGTAAAAGATGGCATGTCGGTGTGTTAGACAACTGAACCTCTGTGCTTTAGAGTACGTCACTGTCACATTTTCAAAAACTGCTCATCCTGGAGCTGAAATGTCTCGCATTGGGGCCAATTTAGTAGCACACTCGATATTTATTACACAGAATGTGCCAGAGGCGAACCTGACCTGACATCATCAATGGTGACATCTGTGGCATTGAACGTCCAGCTCGGGCTACACTGAGATTTCTGTTTAGTAAAAAGCCAGGATTCTGCTAACCAGCGGTCGAAGGTTACAAGCCTGAGGTCCAACAAACCCAGTTTTTCGGGCACTGCCATTGACAGAGGAGTCAGCTTCCAGTACACTTGATGTGATTAACATTGAAGGCACTGCTAAATTGACCTCCATTAACTACATACCATGTTCCTCCCCCCCCAACCCCATCCTTTTTATTTATTGTACATGGTTAAGCTATCAGAATAGCAGTAGTTGGAAGTGTGTGCACCATTCTGTTGTTGAGAGAAAGTAGTCTGTAATTAGTTTGAATCATTATCTTCCTCATCCTCTTCACTGTCCTCAATTCCCTCACTGTCTTCCTGATCCTCCTCCTCCTCTTCCGTCTCAGGGATATCCCACTGTGGATGAGTTTCTGGCACATGTTTCGCCTCTTCAACTTCAAACTGAGTAGAAAAACAAACGTTCAAACGTTAAATGGGGTAAACAAAAAGTAGCAAAACGGGGGAAGAGGCGAGAAAAAAGGTACTGTTAGATAATACCACAGATCATATATATAATGCAGTATATTATGGCCCCTCCACGGTATACTAAATGCACAGTACAGTTTTAGTGATGCCCTGGCAATCGCTGGAATTGTTTCCAAGAAAACTCGAAGGCTTTTTTGTGTCTGACATGTGGAAACCCATCACCGTGCTTAATAGTATCCAAACCAAACAGTTTCATGCATCCTACTTACACATGGAAATTCTCGTGTATTGGAAGGCTTGTACAGTTGAAGGCTTCCTGTGGTGACATTACATGGTATGCCTCACATTAATCTGGCACTTGTACTCTCCTGGGCTAATTAAGCGATATAGAATTTTTCAGTCAGGACCCTGGCCAACTCTGTGATTAAAGGATCTAACTGCAAGTTAAACACTGTCAGCCCTTCTCACTCCATGGATACGCACCTCCAGTATAATGATTCACAGATGAAACATTGAAAACCAGCGAACTCTGATAGTAAAGAAACACTTAACTACTAAGAACCAAGTAAATTAATTTAAAAAATTACCTTTAATGGTTTGATTAAATCTAAACCCATGTAAGAATCAGACCTCAAAATCACAAAGTATTGATAATTGCCAGTTTTACACGGTGCCGAAAACTTCAATTCAATCTGGAAGAGAAAAGGTTCAATTTAAAAACTCCAGAATATCATGAGCTTCAAAAACAGTAGTTTTAAAGAATGATCTGACAATACATTTCTTCCATAAAAAGACATTTTCAGTTGTTTTAGCCCCATTATGGAAGTGTTTCCCAAGCTTTGGAACAATGTCAAAGTTCAAAGAATGTAATTCACTGCAGCTGATTGCTTCCACCAGTGATTGAATGTTTGTTTACCATTTCAGAAACACAGCACTATGCCCTGACCTCCCTGCAGTGTTGTACAGACATATGTTTAATCCATGGCGCGCACTGATCGACTGCAAAGGGTAGAGGTGCTATAATTGGCCTCAACACCTGGTTTAGAGAAAGATAGAGAGCAAGAGAGAGAGAGAAGAAAAAGAGACAGCGCTCCCATTCATGATTGCTAATCTCTGTGGAAAGTGTATACATGTTGATGTCAAGTGAGGAAAGGATAATGTTTGACTGCCCCCTGACAGTGAGTCAAGGCTCACTGAGGAAGCACAATGTACTGTGGGGCTGCTGGCACCTGTTGAAATTGTGACCCAGCATATACCAATGTTAGCAGCTGGGAAAAGAATATGTATATGGTACTTACTACAATTATTAATATCTATATAGCGCCTTTCACATCAGGAAAACATCTCATATAGCTCGCCTAAACTCCTAGCTGAGGAGGGAATGGTGGCCGAAAGCAGGATTTAATGATAAGGAAGCAGGATTTAATGATGAGTAAGCAGGGAGCCAGGCGGAGGTTCTGTAGAGCAGATCTCCAGAAAACAGGTGGAGAACATCTAAAAATGGATAATGGGGAGAAATGGGCAGGGACACGAGTAGAGGGAACAGCTGGCTCGGGAGAGTCCAGCAGACCAGAGCTTAGGTGAGGCAAGGCCTTGGAGGTATTTGAAAGTGAAGACAAGGATTGTGAATTCAATCCTCTGGGTGAAGTGAGTCAGCATAGCCAAGCGAGGATGGGGGTGATAGAGCCTTGTGTAGAAAGGCTACGGGCTGCAGAGCTCCAGATGATCTACAACCTGTGTAGAGAGGAGCTGCAGAGTCTGGTGAGCAGGATGTCAAAATAATTGAGGCTGGGCATGATCAAGGTATGGAGGAGGGGAAAAGAAGTGGAGAGGCAGGCAATGTTGCAGAGATGAGAACCTGGCTGTGGGGCTTAAAGGACAGTTGGGTGTCATACGGGACACTAAGGATCTGTGCCGGCTTTGTGAGGAAAAATGAGCCCCTGTGCAGCTCGATGTGGTGAGTGAAGTGAGAGGCGTTTACTAACTTTTGAAACCCAAGTGCTTACCTCCTCGTCTTGCTGAAGAGTACATACATGATATGGCATTGATATTAATGTTTGTGCTTTCCTGTCTGCAATGTACAGCCACCACCACTCCTGCTTCTCCTGTCACGAAAGAAAGTATTAAATGTCTCTGCAATTTCAGCTAATGGGTTCCCCCTTTCAAATAGCGAAACAACTATTATTTAATGCACCAGTTATCTAAAGTTCTACACACAAATGCTTCCACTTTTATGAGAAAGATAGAGTAAGTTTAATTCTCCTGGTTTGTAAATTACTTCATTCTTGTTTCAAACACCATCCACTATTCTGTGTGTGCGTGTGGTGCAGGCGTGTGCTCAGTGCCATGGTTGGTTGGTGGGGTGGGGGTAGGGGTGGTGGTGGGAGAAGAGTGTATTCCATCCCAGGCCTCCATTAACGCTGCTGACACTGCTGCTCATTGATGTTTGAGACCATCCTTTAAACTCTTTCCTTTCCTGTCAGAGAGTAATGCAGTGGCCAACATCACCATAAATATAGTGACACTATGATCATTAATCTAGCCCACTTACTCAGTAGCACTTTTTTTTCTCCCCCCCACCACCAAACCTCTGCCTTTTGGCTCTTAGCACTAATACATCTTAAGGTGCTGGAATGGCTCACTTGAAACCAAATTAAATATTTTTAGACAATGATTCAGAATTAAAACCCCCCAACAAGTGCAGCTGAGGTCAGATTTGCCCCAGTGTCGTGTATAATTCTACCCTCATATTGATTACTTCATTTCCTCTGACCTCAGGACCAGCTCTCACATTCCTCACTGTTCTGTTCTCAGCTTTATTCTGCACCACTTCCTCCTCCCCCACCCCCAACACACACAGGATAGGTTGAACAATACATCAGTGGAGATAGTCAGTAACTCCACTCAAAACAGCCATATGCCTTTCAGCGCTCAGCTCAAGAGTATTCAGGTCAACACACTAAACATGTGAGAACCCATCAAAAGGATCTTTGCACTAACCTCAGGGAAGTATAGAGTGTGCACTGGGTGGGTGATCTTTGATTTGGTCTCGAGTAGAGCCCGCTCTCTTCTTTGGATACTTTGCTGAAGTGCCTCCCACTCCTGTGGAGAAAGAAATAAGGGATTGAAATCACAAAAGACAGTTTACATACACATTCCGAACCATAACTTGTCGGGAATCTCTTACCTCTCAGTTCTGATTCAATTGGTCGCTCAAGATGAAGCTTAGCTTTAAGATATTGTTTTAAAAATGTGCAAACCTCTCTCCTCCTCCGTCCTGTGCCTTTTCCTACCATGGACAAAGAGGTGAACAAAGTGTGCTCAGTTCTTTGCAAAGGCCTCTCAATATTGGCTCCCAGCAGGTAACAGCCAAGTGATGACACTTTCCACATTTCCCTCTCAATGTGGGAAGCGCTGGGGATTTTCCTCAGAGAAGTACTTTCTTCTGATATACACAAGACCTGTTTGATCTCATCCTTTCGGATCACCCACCCTACCCTCTTCTCATTACAACAACTGACCAACTATGTGTATAGAAACATCCTGGAGTTTGACTAGAATCACCCCGAGCAACTCAAAATCTCAACACTTGTGTTGGTGTACCTGAAAGTAATCTTTTCAATTACATTTTGCATCTTATGCATTTCACTTATTTAACAGTAATTTCAAACATGAAGAGTCCTAATCTTTCTAATTATTCTCAATAGCTTTTGCATCCAAATTTCTTAAATTTGCATTACCTCTGGGACCCAGGAAGCTCCTTTTATAGCGGTGACTATTATCCACACAGGTGCAGCCCAACCAGAACATTGCCCAGCCCAGCCAAACCAGAGCACACATTGCACTGCTGATCATTACGGTGGGAGTCTGAACACAAATAATTCAGCAGTGTAGCCCAGCATCCTGTTTGTGCTTTGGCTAAGAAGCCAGACCTGCAAAAAGTGAACAATCCCAAACACGCGTCATCCCACAAAAACAAAACAAACTGGCCGAGTTGTCTTATAATTTGTTTTTGTCACCAGCACATAACAGTTGACGTCAGAACAGCATCATCGTGACCTTTTACACTACCCACAACTGGGTTTTATTTTGCCATATTCTTTTTTCCAGCTGATGTATGAAATAAACAACCTACAGACTTTTTAAAAAAAAGGAAATTGAAAAAATAGTGTCCCCATTTGTTGTGCGCAATTGGCTGCCGCGTTTCGCCCACAAATGTAGTCAATTCACTTTACAGTCTATTCTGTGAAGCGCTTTGTGACGTCTAGAAGACGTGAAAAAGTTCTATATCAAATGCAAGGATTATTATTATTATTATAGTGACGCCTGAAATGGAAGCAGATCAGTGAGATTTGAGTTCCTAGTTATGTCTGTGAAAAACATTATTTAGTTTACTTTCCTGAAGAGGTTAGTTCCAAAAACAAAAACTTTATTTAAATGTAACTGAAATCCATCTGCTTTTAATGGCAATAATATGTTGGAATGATTACGGATTATGAGCTGGTTGTAAATAGTTTTTGTTAGCCAATAAGCACTGATATCAACATTTCAGTGGGTCAAGTGCATGAGCTGGAACTCTTAAACCCAGGGTAGATGATAATTCTGGCAGTGTAAAGGTAATAAATATTTTCAGAGGAAGTAAAAGTGACTATACAAGTATCCTCAAGGTGATTAATTTAACTCAATTAGTACAGCAGGTGCCTAATGAGGTGCAGAACAAAACAAAGGACATAAATACACACCAAAAATACTCAAACTGCTTCCAGTGAGTTGGAATTTCATTTGGCTGTTTAAAATGATACCAACCAAAATCAGTCACAAAAACCTCTATCTAGCCAGAACATTCGGAAATCTCCCTCTTTTTGGTCCCCAATTTCAAATGCTATTCCCTGGCCAAATGTACAGACATACAAACAATCTGCTTTGTACATACAATGGAAAGTAAGCGACACTAGCCCATGTTGACTTGGCCTCTGACTTTCTCTCTTCCCTCAAGTGGGAAACTACATTCTGTGTGGCTATTCACAGCAGCTGAATTTAGATAGATAACTGAGTATCCGATCGTCACTGTGCATTTGACAATCCAGTCAACATCATCTGTGTATCCAACAGACAAGGTAAGATCAGTAATTCTCTGTGCATCTGGTCAGCCCAGTCTATAGGTCCATGTGTTAAGGAACTGCTGGGACAGACAAACCTGCCATCCAGGTCATATCCTTTGTTCACTAATCACCAGTAAGCACATAAGAACTTACTAAGGAAAGAAGACCAAGGTCCATCTAGTTCGCCTTCCACCATCCTGGCAGCCACTTGACATCAAAGCACTGTGCCACTGAACCATTAAGTAACCTCAAGCACAATCATCACAACAAACTGTGGCGTAAGCTAAAGGATAATTTTTTTTGTTGAGATATTTACTTTGATTCAAGAATGCATCCTTTTAACTGCATGAATGTAGCACTTTGCACAAATTTCTGTTAAACAGGACTCACTGCTTCATCGTCCTTCTCTCCATTAAATTCCTTGTCACTGTCATCGTCCTTGTCACTTTGGGAATCTTTGTTGGTTGTCTCTTCCTCAGAATCACTCCCTTTGTCTGATAGTTCGTCATCATCTTCCTCTCTGTTTGATGCATCCTGCGATGGAAAGAAATGCTAAATATAGTTTGGCCTGAAATTAGATTATGTTTTTTGTGCTAAAAGACAAAAGATCATGAATCGACCATAAAATCTTGTTTTGTTTTTAATTGGGTCTGCAAGTTAAAAAATTTTTTTTTTAAAATCTAGAGTATGTTCAGAGAGAGTATGAATTAAATTGAAAACATGAAACTAAGGTTATGTCGATACCAGATGCAGAACATTTCTTGCAAATACTTCTTAAAAGAAAATAATCCAAATGTATCATTGAAGAGGATTTTCTACATTGAAACAGAACCAGAGGATTCCCTGAATCACATGCTGCCTAATTGAAATAAAAGCTACTGCTATCATTCAACATCACCAACTTGCCCTTATACAGCACCTACTACGCGGGATACGTCTGAGCGCTTAACAGTGACTCCGAGCCGGTGGGGGAATCGGAAAGGAAGGTTTTCAGGCAGGACTTTAAAAAATGGGAGGGCGCAAGGCGGAGGGATTGAAGGAGAGTGTTCCAGAGCTTCAGGGCATAGGGGCTGAAAGCACGACCTCCAATGGTAGAGTGGAGGGTGCGAGGGACAAGCAGGAGGTTGGTGCCAGTCGAGCGGAGGCACCGGGTGCTGGAGTGGGGAGTGAGGAGGTCAGAGAGGTAGGGAGGTGCCATGGAGTGAATGGATTGAACATGAGAGTGAGCATCTTGAAGTCGATCCATTCAGTGATGGGGAGCCAGTGGAGCCTGGCCAGAGATGTGGGGATGGAGTTTGGTCCGGGTAATTATGCAAATGGCAGAGTTCTGAATGAGTTGGATCTTTTGAATAGTGGAGCTGGGGAGTCCGGCGAGAAGTGGGTTTGTGTAATCCAGGCGGGAGGTGATAAACGCATGCACAAGGGTTTTGGCTGCATTTGGGGTGAAGCATGGTCAGAGGCGGGCAATGTGGCAGAGGTGAACGAAGGCAGTCCTGGTCAGGGACCGGATGTGAAGGGAAAGCTAGGAGTCGAACCAGATACTTAGATTGTGTACTGGTTAGGTGAGTCTGAGGGCGAGTCCAGGAAGGTTGAGGAATTTAAATCCGCAGGAGAGAAGATGTTGACAGGAGCCAAAGAGTATGGCTTCCATCTTGTCCACCTTCAGCTGCAGGACATTTATGTCCTGGTCCAACCATTTTCATCCCTTAGCCCAATCCCACACATTGTTCTTTGCTGAATGGAAGATGCATGGAAGGTGCTGTGCAAAGAACGACGAGATGTGATTCGTATCATGGAAATAATTAGAGCCAACGACTGATGATCAAAAATCAAATCTACAGAAAACTCCTACATCTCATTTTAATCAAAAAGAAAGCAAATTCCTGATCAGAGTACAGTTCAATGCCATCAAATACTTCAAAGTGAATCAGGGCTCTGTGAAACTACCCCATGTGAAGGGTGCTATATAAACGCAAATTGTTGTAGTAGTTGAATTGTACAGATTAATTTTTTTTATTTGATTGTAATGGATATTAAATTACTTAAATGTTCCAGAAAACAAGAGCACATTTTAAAATACCATGAACTGAAACAATCACACCATTTCCCCATCATTAGGTTACAGAGACATCCTTCCACGCACATTGTGAAGTGCACAGGAAGACACGCGAGTGGAGACTGGATGACCTGAAAGCTGACTATTTTGTCTTGCGCATGTGAAGCACACAGAAAGCAATGTTGGTGGCAACCTGATGATCCAGGAGTTTTTTTNAAGCACAACTGCTGCCAAGCAAGCTGGCTTTGTACATGTGCAGTGAAACTAGCTATCGTGGCCTCACTATATGGCAGGGTGGGATTTTATGGATCCCAACTATCACCTTTACAACAAGACTCCACTGTATCATGCAGTCAGGAAAACATTCAACCATCTTCTACTGCCATCTGGAGGGTTTCAAACTAACAGACACATATCCACCACCTCCAGTTCAACTTGTATCCCAATGAGCACACGGCGCTCTGTTGGAGAATGTACTAAACAAAGCACCAAACTAAGAGATCAAGGAACTGGTTTTCATTGGGCATCTGCTGTGATCCAATTCCCTCCATCAGGCTTACCATCAACCTCCAAACATTCATTGTATCACAAGTGCCCCGTTTATCTAAACAGTTAAAAGTAATGCAAAATACCAGCAAAACCCATGCTAGCTGTTAGTTAACAGTTCATAGTATTTAACTTAAGCTTTTTTTATTATTAGAGCCTACAACATCAACTATCATTTAAATAGTGCACTTCAACAGGGGTAGAATCTTGGGAACACTTTAATCTAATGATGAAGGTAATCAGACAACACTGACCATGTCCATCTACCGTTAGGGCTTTAGCTCAAGGGGTTATGGTCAGGTCTGCCACTCGAAATCGCAGTGATTAACCAGACCAGCTGTTATTAATGGATACTATCTTAAACATAAAATAATGCAGTGTCTCATACATTGCCTGGCAATAGGGAGCCATTGGCTTGACTGTGTTTCGGTTTCTGCTTCTGCTGTTCTGCCGGCGGCTGCTGTGGTGTTGGAGTTGGTGCCTTTTTTTTGGCTGCTTTCTTTTTCTTAGATTTACTGGGTTTCTTGGCTCCTTTATTCTTCTGCCAAACTTTCTTTTTATTTTTTGCAATATTTGCTTGCTGACAAAAGCAACATAAAGTGGTCATAAATCCTTACAAATACCAACACTTTAGACACAAGACAAATATTCAATAGCAATTCCTTTGGAGCATAAAGCACTGAAATATTGAACAGCAAATAATTCTGCCACCTGTCTTGGAGTGTAAATATTTGCTTCAACAGAATGAGTTAGTGGTTGAATTAAAAATATATTTCGAAGAAAATGTAAAGCATTGAAAAGGTTTATTCGTCTTCATAAATGTTACTTCCACATGGAATTACAAAGACTACCCTTGTGAGTACAGCATTAACTTTTGATTTTGTGTTTTGAAACCAGAAGTGTACATTTTAAAATAATTTATTCACTTGTTCATACAACTACTTTTTATAAATATTGAAATATTTACTGTATTAACTTTTGAAGTGAAAATGATTGTGAACAAAGTGGCAAACAGTGAAGTAGTGACATAGGTGCTCTCATGGTACATGTAGTTAAGTGTGCGCAGCAGTATTAGGAGGATGTACCCTCAAGAGATTTGGGTGGACTATGCAGGAATAATCCTTCTTTGCATTTGATATATACCTGTATATATGTGTATATGTGCTCAGTTAGCTGATTTGAGTCAGACAATACAACAACGTTGTTCTGAGAACATGGGGTTGGGAAGTGTGGTGGGGGAAGATGAACTCTGCAGCCAATTTGCACATAGCAATGTCCCATAAACAGCCATGAAGCAAATGGCCAAATTTATCTGGAGGGTTGTTGGCCAGGATACCAGGAGGAAACTACCTTCTATGAGTAGGTAAATCTTAAGATAATATGGGTTACAATTAAACAGATTAAAATATTTCCTTATAGAGAACATATTTCTACATGGAGTAAAGATTATATGTTTAAGTGCTGAACTTACTGTCTCTTCGGATTCCTGCTCCTCTGTTGGGCAAGTGACCTGTTCTTGCTCTTTTTCAAACATGGTCTTTAAGGAAAAGTGAAAACAAAGAATACATGAATCCAGGACATGTCAGTCAGATGATCTGTCTAATCTGTGCTCTAATTCTTCTATTCAAGAATCCCCATTGCCTGCAAGTGGCAATACATAGCAAAATTTGTGAATGATGTATTAAGATTTAAATCAACATAGTTTTTGTATGATCACTTTAAAGCAATTATACAGATCCTCGGTGTTTGCTCAGTTAGCTGATTTGAGCAAGACAGTACTAAACAACATTGGTCTGAGAACATGGGTTGGGAAGTAGCTGTGGGAAGATAAAATAAAAATCAGCCAGGGCTCCCATTTCTGATCTTTTTATACGAGAAGAGGAATGTGCGTTCGTACATTGGGGAAAGAGACTTCCAATACTCGCCATCAAGGGTCACATGTGTATTGTATCTACTTGGGCAAGTTCCTGGAGGTTGTCCAACGCTTGAATGGAAGTTGGCCCATTAGAGGGAAGAAATTCCAACTGGGCCGAGATTTGTTCTATTTATGTAGCATTTCAGTGGGTCCAGAATTTGGCAAATTTTTAAATACAGCTTGAATTTTGAAGCAGGTTTTCCGTGAATTCTTTGAAAATCTACAGAAAAACAACTTCAAAGTTGAGATTGAATACAACAATTTGCTAACAAATTCTGGATAAATTCTGGACGCTCTCAAGTGCAACACAAGGTAAATCTAAATCTAGATGAAACTTCTAGCCACATAAGGAGAAAGTGTCTATTGTCTTGGATGGAATAAAATTGTCAACAGAATAAACACTTTCATGCAATGTTTTTGGAGAATAATTGCTGCTACTTACAGCCATGTACCCTCTGCGAAGCAACACAGTCACAGTAACTATAGACCCTGCCGTGATGTTACTGCTGTCCTCATCATCCAGAACTGCAAGAATATGAAACAAATCTGTAACTCATTTTCCCTTCCCAACCACAAATTCATTCCAAAGGGAAACAGAACTCAATATATATAGTAAACATTAATGCTTCATCCAATGTGTGAACCCCAATTGGATGCGAGGGAGGAAGCATCCATTTCCTAACACAGTAAAACCAGCTAGTGGGGGTTGGGGAGTGAGTGGAAAGTAGGTGATAAAAGACATATTAAAGAGTTTTTTTTTAAAAAAACAACCTAACAATATATGTCCCATTATAAACCCTGCCACAAACATTCACTCCCAATGACACTGAAACTCATATTATGCGTGTTTCCCCACCCCCCCCAAAAAATACACCACTTGGGGTAAATATTATAAAATACAAGGACATTGCTCTATTTAAGTAACATTTATTTTGGAAACTGGGATAAAAGAAGAAATACAGAAATAAATTCGGAACAACTTGGAGCTGTGATAAGTCAATATTTTTTTTTAAAAAATCAAGAGTGAACAACAACAAAATTACATTTATAGAGCGCCTTTCACGTCGGGAGGACGTCCCAAAGCGCTGAACGGTCAGCTGTCGGGCCGGAGCATGGGGGAGGGGTGGTGTAGGGGTGAGGGAAGGTAGAGAGTTCGGAGGGAGACCAAAGGCACGATCGAAGAGAAGGGTCTTGAGACCGGCCTTGAAGGATGCGAGGGAGGAAGCATCCTTGAACAAACCAGTTTATAAAAATCTGTGCTACGTGCACATCACTGGAATGATTAGATGAACAGATAAAGCTCTACCACACAGATCCTTACCTTGCAACTTGACCTCCATGCTAACGTGAGGAAAGTTACTGAGCACTGCCATGACTCCATCATATTTTTCCTCACTAAGGAAACGTAACATGCTGCGACGATCAGCATCCTTCATACTAACCAGGTCCTGAACTGTTCGGATTTTGTACTGTTTTGTGGATTGGGGGGCAGGGGAGATGGGCAGGGGATGGCGGGGAGAGGAGAAGAGGAAACGAGAGTGAAAAGAATTAGAAAAAGATGTAGATTTTTTTGCAATGAAACATAGTTTATTAATCTATTATTCCCTTACTGTAAGGACATTGTTTAATAGTACAACATCTGGCAATAAATCTGGGCAAAGTACATTTCCAAAGATGTCCTCTTGCACTCTATAACTACAAGTGTAGAGTGCAACTACAACTACAAAGTGTTAGCGCCATAATTGTAGGAAAGAAGCTTAGATTACTAAAAAGGGCAAATGACACCAAAACATTGGGACTCAATTAAGAAATAGCTTGATGGCAAGACACTAGCATTTGTATTATTGTAAATTAAATTAATTGGGCCAATTGGGACTTTCTATTGTGACATAGGAGAATATTATTATATTATTTTATGATACAATTTGACTTTCTTTAAAAGAAAGTCAAACTTTGGTTAGGGATGAGTGAGAATAGTGTTTCTCTGTGTCTTTCTGGTGCACAATGTCCTTTGGGATTCGAGAAGTGGCACCCGATCATGAACTTCACCCCACTTACTGAATCTCTTGATTTGTTCACCTACAAATTACAGTTACTACTTTACAGTAAATCTTGTGCTTTGAGACATCACAGGTGCAAGACACTAAAATATACAGTCAATTCACTTTACAGTATATTATGTGAAGAGCTTAGAGACTTCTCGAAGACGTGATAAGGCACTTGTCAAATGCAAAGATTATTATTTTACTATTATATCAAATAAGGATTCTTAGCATTTTATTTCTCTCTTCGGAGAAAATTCTACCAAATTACCTAAAATCCAGAATATCTACTCACTGGACATGGTGTTATAAGGTGTTTAAAATGGCATAAAAGAAACGCTTATGAGGTGCTGTAAAATGGCTGAATTAAAAGACCAAGATCTTTGTGTTCTGACTCAAGGCCACAAACCGTCAGCACAGCTATCCGCAAGTGTTTGAGTTGACCCTTGTCTTAATTTAACTCAATGTGTGCTACGAGGATGGTTAGGAACAACCTTATCAGTCAGTCATGCCATGAGACTATCACGTGATCACGAGACTTGTTCCATGAGACGAGCAGGTTCGCGTGGTGACCTCAAGGGATGACCTGATCAGAGGCTTGTTATATTACCCATCGCAGTATCATAAAGCCAAGGTCCAACTTACGTAAATTAGTTAACTCCAGCGCATCTAGGAGTGGTTGCAGAGAACAACAAGGATTGAAAGCTTGGACAAAGAAGACTGAAAGCTAGAAAACGCAAGGCTTGATCATTTGAAGAACTAAAGTTTGCTTGCGCTAAAGACAAAATGCTGAATCTGCAACTAAAGTTTGCTTGCTGTAAAGACAAAGTGCTGAATCTGCAACACTCAGTAGCATTGCTCTGTTTTATTAAGATAGTCGTGACACTCTTTTATACATGTATGCATAATTAAAGTTTGTTTTGATTAAAACATCCTGAGACTCTGACATATTGGTATTACCGAATCCAAACTTGTTTAGAGTGGTTGCAAACACTCTAACAATTGTTCAATCCTGTCCAGCTCCCAATATTTCAGGAGCCACCACGCTCACTGCGTGTCTCTCCACACTTTTCTACAACACGGAATCCTATTCTTAACGGGACATCCTTTCAGTTCTCTTCTTTCCCTTCTTCCCTCCCACCCAATCATAACCACAAATGTTTTACCTTTTTAGACCAGCAGTATTTAAGGTGTTCTTCTTCAAAGTGTGGAAGCTGAAGCAGAGGAGATTTAAAGTCCCACAGACTCTGCACCAGCATCTGTGATAGTTTCATGCAGTTCTCTATGGACTCCAAACGAGGAGCGTGGATCCCTAATCAAAATCAACACAGATTTTAATTCAAGACATCTTATAGCCAGAGAACTATTTGGACTAGAAACCCATGAGAACCCAAAAGCTCAACTTCTCTGCATTCTCTCATCTGGTCTACACATCTCCCTATCACCTCCACCCCAAGTGGAGTCCTGTAGCTCAGTGGTTAGAGCACTCGCTTTGCAAGTGAGAGACCTGAGTTCATTTCCAGGCAGGGCGAAACCTTGGGCAAGTTTCCTTACTCCACACGCCTAATAATAATCCCTTCAAAAACCAAAAACAATAATTAATTGGTCATTTTCAATCTACGACTGTTTGTGGGACATTGCTGTGCGCAATGGCTGCCGCGTTCGCCCACAAATATACAGTCAATTCACTTTGCAGTATGTTCTGTGAAGCGCTTTGGGACGTCCTCCCGACGTGAAAAGCGCTATATCAAATACAAGGATTATTATTATTACATGAATTATGAAAAAGAAAACACACAAGAACACACGTATGCAATGAGAAATATCCAATTGCTCAAACAATCTCCAATTTGTACAATCTACCCTGCAATGGATTCACTGCAACCCTTTAATTGCCCGAGAGAAATTTCTACAAACAAATTATAGCATGGAGGAGGGAGGCACTTGGCACATTGAGCCTAAACTGGTACTAGCCCGTCCACTTGATCAGATATTCATCCAGCCACTCTGAAGGTGGATTTACACTACAGATCTCTTACCTCCACGTGTGTTGGCCATCATGGTCAGCTGGCAGCCAACATTAATCATTTCCTGGAGGAGGCCAGGGCACTTCCGGATGACTAGCCAATAATCTAAAAAGGAAAAGAACAAATGAAAGCAAATAATGAGGCAACATTTTCAACACTAAAATGGTAACAATTCATCCTATAAAAAACAGTATTCAGGAAATAAAGACATAGTGTAAGGGATTGAAAAGCAGGGGAGGGGATGGAAAGGAGCGGAGGAGGAGGAGGGAAGAGTGGGAGATGGGAAGGGGAGAGACCAATGGAGGGGGCAAGGATAGAGAGAGGGAAGGATTTAGCAGGAATCTAACAGAATGTATTTTCAACATAAATGTCTTAAATAGCTTGAAAAACATTAATAATTAAACTTAATGTCATGAATGCTGCTATCCAGAACTAAATGTCAAGCCCCAGACTTTCTTTGCTCTCTTGGGCATTGATTGCACCATCGACAGGACGCATCCACTCAAAAGCATACAGGGTAGGTCCCCAGCTCCTTTCACCCCTGCGTTCTGCCTCACCTTCTTCCAAGGTATTGGTGATGTCCAGTCGGGAAAGATGTGCGTGGAGGAGAACTCTAGCCTTCACACTGTATGGTAAGCAAAACGGAAGCTCCTTCTTCTTTTCATTAACATTTCCAAGCTCTCGAATAAGCTGACAATCGACAGAAAAAAAAGAATGATTGCATTTTATTTCCGTGCAAAGGAAGAGCCAGAAATATATATTGACTGATACCATTTTATTGCTCAACTTACAATACATCTAAATGCTAAAGTATTTCAGCGATGCAGTGAGTTGCATCAGTGGGTGCCCTTTCAGGATGTGATCTGGATTTCAATCGAACCCAGACTGACATGATTTACTCTCCTCCCTCAACTCAAGGTTAAATGAAATGAGTCCAGGCATTTTCAACCCAGTGTCCAGGGGCACAAATCCAGTGTCCCAAACTTTCCATAACACTGCAGGTGATTCCAGTGTCACCCAGGTGGCCACTAAGATGAAACATAAAACTAGGAATCTGTAGAGTTACAATCGAGTAAATAGTAACAGATTATTCCCACTGGTCAGTAAATTAGTAACACATGGGCACAAATTTAAGAATCACAAACAAAATTAAAGGGGAGGTTAGAAAACATTTCTATACATTAACAATGGGCGGAACATGGAAGTCTCTCTCTCTCCAGTCATCACCTTAAAAACATCATAACCCCATTTTGTAAGGATGCAAGGAGTGGGAAGTGGAAATATTATCCAGGAAGAAATTAGCTTTATTGCTCTGAGTTTGGGATTTCGGAAAATAGAAGGACAGAGGAGTCTAAATCCGGTTTGAGTGAATGCACCAAAAAGTGAATCATCTGTTAATGATTCCCTTCCAACCTTGGGGAAAAATTAGCTCAACAATCAACTGTTGCACTGTCACAGATCAGTCTTTCTCCCCCACCCCCAGTTTCTAACTTGGGACCTCATCAGGTTAAGAAAAAAATTAATGACAGATCCAAACTCTACCATTGCCAGGGACGGTCAGTTGTCAGTGATGTCTTACCAGAGGTATTTCGGTGTTGTCCGTCGGTCTCATGACTGCTTCCTTGCTACTCCGCGGATCAAACTCAAAGGCAGCAGTTAATACCATTATAAGGCCTGGCAGCGAGGAAACAAAAGTTCTTTCAGAGCTGTTCAGAATTGGGAGCAAAGTGAGCAATACAATACAAAATTACATTTGTATAATGCCTTTCACATCAGGAGGAGCAGGCGAGAAAACAACTGGAATGTGAACTGATTTGGAACAAGTTTTACATTTTAATGCATCATAAAAGTTCATGTGCATCTCTTTCGGGAATAGTGTTTGATTAACATCATTTGTAATAAATTGCTGATCATAAACTTCTAATGATCACGTCAGTATCCAAGTGGGACTTTACTTGGGAGTTTAATATAATAATCCTGTCATTTGATTGAGCATCTTATTGCATTATTGTAATGTCTCAAAGCAGTTCACAGGATTTTACTGTAACATATGGTGACTGTGTATTTGAAGGCAAATGTGGCAGCTAATTTGTATACAACGATGTTCCACAAACAGCCCATGACCAATTTTATTTGGGGGGATTGTTGGCCAGGATACTGGGAGAAACTCCCTTCTCTTTTTTAATAGTTCCATAGGATCTTTAATGTTGATCTGAACAGAAAGATGGGACGCCCGGCAATGTGCCAGCATTGTACTGGAGTGTCAACCTTGACAATGAGCTCAAATTACCAACATAAGGCTTGAACCAACAACCTCTGACTCAGGGTCAAGAGAGATACCAATTGAGACAAACTCACACCAGAATTATTTAGGGATGCAGAGCAATTTTAGGGCCAAGATATCACTAAATGTAAATTCCTGTTTCAAAGAAGCAACGATCTTCAGAGAGAAAATCACCTGCATTCCTTAACCATGCCTGAACAACGGATGGTGCAACTAACATAAGGTGTTGGGGTGGGAAGAAGGGGAAATACAAATAGACAGTAAATCTTGAGAATTCAACTCAATAATAAAGTTGGAATCTTGTGAAACAGGGACCTGTACTGCACTCTTGTGTAAAGATGGGCCAAAGACAAAGACATTTTAAATATCTTTTTTTTAAAAAACTTACGTTTCATATTCATATTGGGAGTTCGGTTCATAAAATGCATGTAGAGTTGTGTTGTCTGAATAAGAATCTGGTCACCACTGTATCGAATGGAGCGGTACCACCACGTTCCCTTTATGTACAATGAAGGAAACAAAGGACAGATGTAAGTAAGGCTTTGCAACAGAGCAGTAATGAGCAGAGAAAGCACCAGGCACAGAGACTGCCTGGATTCAGATCCACAGGCAGCAAACAAGTCAGCAGGACAATGAAAATGTGCGAGCAAGGCTCAAAGTAGCCCAAAGACTCACCACAACCACAGGAAGAATCACCATGAATGCAAATCCATACACAGCCAAGACCTACGGGTTTAAAAAATACAGACATTGTTTTGTGATATGTAATCTGGCACCGCTTCATACTTTAAATTATTACAAATAAGAGTGACCTTATAGGAAAACAACTTGTGGTTGATCAGCTGCGTTTCTCTGGTTTCTTCCAAAGGAAAGTGCTTTCTAGTTGTGGGGCACCTTAGCAACGGTCTGTTTGAGATCGGGGATCCGTCACATGGGGAAACGGAGGCACAACCGTGCATCATCGCACGTTATGCTAATTTATCCATATCACCGTGAGAGCCATACCATAGTGCATTACCACCATGGCAACAGATGTAGCCAATTGTGCCTTTTGTAAGGTATGTTGATTTGCACCTTCATATTTGTTAAGACAATGACAATTTCCTTAAAAGTAGATACACTTCTGGGTTTCCACAAATCTAACACGAAACAAAACATCACTGGACATTGATCCATAACTTGTACTGGATAAAGCAACGTGGGCCACCAACAGCCATTTCACTTCAAATAAAACATTAATTTTGATTTTCATTAATTTGAGTAGGGTTCGACTCCGATGCTGCTTTTAGTCAAAACATTTTTACGCTGATACTACGTAAAGCGCAGTGACCTTCACAATTTGGGAATAAGGAAAATAAGGAATGTGATTTCCATTTAATATTCAATGATCTTATTCAGCCCATTTAAGGTATCTACTTTGTTAAATAAATTCTTGACAAGATAAGTTTAACACTTACCTTGTCAAGCTTGCATGACTTGATCGAGTTATTAAAAACACGGAAGCCCAGCCCTTCTGAATGAATCACAACTTACCAGCATAGAGTTCTTCTGGTCTACAATCCATGATGGCAGGGCTATGCCAAAAGTAGTCGCTAAATAGAAAACAAGGAATTGTTAATGTAAGCCCAAACACAAAGCAACCCAACAATACACATAACTATGACTTGGGCAAATATCACACAATACATTCATTCACCTGTATTAATCCCAAACTTCATATTGAGCACCATTGAGACTAAATGATGCTGCAAGCGATAAAGGGAAAACTGTAAGGAACAGAGTCATCCCATTCTGTTCTTGTGCACCTCTTAGGCTCTTGTTAGACAGTGGTGCTGGTGAATGCATTGGAGTAAGTCAAAAGATATTTCTCTTCACAGTTTAGTACCCTTGTAGGTAAGCATTGGCTGATGATATAGGCAACAACAACAAAAAAGTTGCATTTTACATTTTGCATTTCACGCCAGACGATGTTTCTGAGTGTTTAACAGTGGCAGAATCCAATACCGAGCTAGGGGGAGGGGGAAGGTTACTGTAGGCATGGTTGAAGAGGAAGGTCTTCAAGCGCGACCTGAAATAGGGCAAGAGAGGGTACGGCGAAGGGATTGAGGGAGAGTTTCACAGCTTCGGGCCGAAGTGGCTGAAGGCACAGCCACCGATGGTGGGGTGGATGGTCCGGGGGACAAGGAGAAGGCCTGAGCCAGTCGAGCGGAAGCAGTGGGTAGCAGTTTAGGGAGAGAGCAGGTTGGAGGGGAATTCCAGATTGTAAAAGGATTTAAATACATGAGCGAGGATTTTGAAATCGGTCCACTCTGTGACAGGGAGCCAATGGAGTTTGACAAGGACAATCAAATACCTTGACAGGGAAAATCAAAGAGAGGGATGTAATAATAATCCTTGCATTTGATATAGCGCCTTATCACATCTTCAAGACACCTCAAAGCGCTTCACAGAATATACTGTCAAATGAATTGTGGGCGAAATGCGGCAGTCAATTGCGTACAGCAGTGTCCCACAAACAGTCGTGGATTGAGTGACCAAATTATTATTATTAGGTGCTTTCAAGAAAGGTTGGGGATACAGGAAGGGAAAGGAGGCAGAAAGAAGGTCTCAATCTGATCACCAGCTACAAAGGGGAGAAATTCGACCTGGATCTGGACTTGCACATTTTTGTATTATTTGAAAGCATGCTGCATTGGGCAAATTCTTAAATTCAGTCTTAATGTTAAAGCTTTTTTTTGGTAATTCCTAGGAAAAAAAAGGCTTCAAAATTAAGATTGACTTTAAGAATTTGCGAAATTCTGCATTCTAAAATGCTAAGAAAATTTTGCAAGTCTAGCCCCATGTGGACTTTCTCCTCCAACACAGGCTATACGTAGATCATTACAGTGGAATCATTTTCTTAACCTTTGTAACAGAAAGCAACTTCAGAAGTCACAAGCATGATATTCCAAGCGCATCCTTGCTATGGCTTCTAAACAGATGAAAAGTTACAATATTTATTCCATTTAATAGATCAAACTTAATATTCATTCCTGAATTTGTGCCAAATTATAGCAAAGTAGAACCCATCCAAGGAAGGAGATTTTTTTAATATAGAAAGATGCTGGACTGGAGGTATGAATGATAAGTGAACGCTTCTAAGGAAATAAATTATTATTTCAAAAATGTAATTAAAAAGGTTCAACCTGAATTCATGTCTGTGGTAGCACAGATCTATGGTATTAACAAGGATTCTACAACTCTTGTCTAATCAGCAATTTCTCATTAACCATAACACACCTCCTCCACTTTATTTAAAAAAATTCTCAAGCCTTGTTTCATCAATTCTTCCACCAAAATGTATTCTTGTATCAATCATTGTGTTAAGCTGATTCACAAGCTTTTCTATACAGAGCAATTCTTCCTCTTGATCCCAATATAAGAAAAATCTAAGAAGTGAGATTTTATTGTAATAGTCGAGCAGGATTAGACCTTGCCAAGAGCTCAGGTAAAGCGTTTGTTCTAAGAAAGGCAAAGTACCTTGCGGACCATCTGGATTGCCAAATTCTTCCCAATTTTTGCGCGATTCTTCATCTGTTAAACTGGAAGAGAAGATAACTGCAATATTAAATTAAACTAGATATACTTTATGCTTCTGGTAATTTAATGCAGAAATAGACTTCAATACAGGAGTAAGGGTTGGGGGGTGGGGAAGAGAGCTAGGTATGGAGTGCCTCCTCCTTTTGCTTAACTGACTTAAAGAGAGATACTAGACGAGTCTTCCATAGCTGCTTAAAGAGATTCCAACAGCAATGGAGACCATCTATATCTAGCCTACCCACCAGCTTCATCAATCGATTCCTTAACATATCTACCGCATCAAATAACCTGAACGCTATTATTTCTGGGAACTTGTCTAGTTGCTTTCTAGCACCACAAAGGCTGGTAAATTGGCCATGGTATATCACCTGACTCAATTGGTGGCACATTTGTCTGCGAGTTAGAAGTTATGGGTTCAAGCTCCATGTCAGGACTTTGAACTCACAGTCTCAGCTAATGCTGCAAAACAAGGTTGGGTGTGAGCTTCAATGTTGGAGATGATATCCTTCAGGTAAGATGTTAACCCGAGGTTCCATCTGCCTATTCATTGGATGTTAAGTTATTTCTCTGTGTCATGGTCAACAAACCCTCAATTAAAATCGGTTATTCTTTTCATTGGCTGTTTGTGGGACATTGCTGTGCATAAATTGACAGCTGCGTTTGTCTGCAAAATACACAGTAAAAGAGCCTGTGAAGCACTTGGCAATGTCCTTCCAATATGAAAGGTGCCAGATCAAATGTAGGGATTATTTATTATTTAACTTAAAACATTTCCTATCAGGTAGACAAGATACTACAGCAGCAACTGTGTACATATTAGGTGACATTGCCACAACTGCAAAGACCCATCAGTAAAAGTGCCTTTTGAAACAATGCCATGATATCTATTTGTTTTTTAATGACACCATGCATTTTAGACAAGTTATCAAATGGGGAGATATAATTGCCCTCATACATGAATTTTTATCATTCACACTGGTAGGAAATAGGATCTTTTAATATTTTCTACAAAAAATAAAGAGTTGGTGAAGTTAGTGGGAACACTGAACAATTTCAGGAAAACAGCTACAAATGTTAGCAGTTACTTTGCTAAAGTTCAGTCCTATTAATGAAGAATCCCACTACTCACGCAGCATAGGCCTTTGCAATCCTCATAAAAAGCACCTCATCTCCTCCTTTATCTGGGTGATGTTTGAGTGAGAGCTGTCGATACTGTTTTTTGATTTCTCCTATTGATGCTCCCTACACGGGAGGGGGAAAAAACACACACACACACAAACAAACACCATAATTTAGCTGTAGGAGAATCATTTGATCTTTTCCCCAACAAGCAACCCCCAATAAATGCAACACAATAAGGCAGGATCTAGGTTATCATATTCCAATTGGAATCATTTTAAGGACCGCAACTTTGAATACCAGTCACAAGCAATGATATTCCCGTGCTTTGGACCAAGAGTTGGAAATGCTGCGGATTCAAGGTCTCACAATTCTCCACTTTCCCTTCTTCTGGAAGATGACCACCTCTGCATAATTAGCTGGAACAAATGCTACAGCTCACTCAGATGCAAGAAAATCGTCACAATATACTCACAGGGAATGACAACACCAGAGTCAGACTGATGGGGATGCAAAAGGGCTCAATGGAAAACCAACAGCGACTGTGAGAGCCACACCATAGTGCCTTACCATCATGGCAACAGCGTAGCCAATTGTGCCTGTTGTAAGGTATGTCGACCAAAAGCGCATCTCCTCCAGGGAATTTCAGGTACATCACAATGACGTTTGAGAATTCATCTCTGAGGCAATTTCAGGTTGGAGCAGAGTTCTGGTGAGTCAGTGTGATGTCCATGGGAATCATTGGTGGAGAGTGTTTAAAGTACCGCAGCGTTTTTCCTGGCGCGAGGCAGCATTTGCACTGCCAGTTTGCCAATGAGGGCATTTCAACCGAATTAAAAACAAATCAGACACTTCTATTCCAATATCAGCAGATCCAAAAGCTAAACCCATAACATCTTTTAACTTTTACATTTGCCTGTAATTCTTTTCAAAGTTCAAAATTAAACTTTTGAGACAATTAGCACTGTGCAATGCGCAGCCTTAACTTCTTAGTTATCTAAAATACTGTGGTTAGCTACCAAAGCTTTCCCCAACTTAAAGCACTTCCCAATGAGTGTTGAATGAAGAGTTAGCAAAGGCCTGAGCACAGACCCCTCTTCCTCATTCAGGATTAAGGAACAGTGAGTTTTGTGGGCGTAAGGAAAGGAGAAGGAACAAAAAAGGGGAAAGCAAATCAAATCTCGCTGCTATGCATTCAGAGTTTTTAAAAATCACATCAAAATGCTACTCACAGACTGGAAACTACGTGTTGTGTTACTTACAGGGTCCACACCAAGCACTTCGTACGGGTTGTATTCTTTCTCTCTATTCTCTATTATTGATACTTTGTACAAAAGGCAGCACAGTAATATCCAACCGCAAATCAGTGAAACTTTCCTGTTCAGAAAAGAGAAATTATTCAAATTAATTTGAAAAATCCATCAACCAACAAACCTAACCAGGCCTGGCCTAATTTCACAAGAGGTCACTCCTAACCCCTCTCTCTCATTAACATCTCTACCAGCAATCACTGCTATATATTTTGTTCCCACCCATATCTTCATTATGGCAATCAAAGCTCATTTGACTGTCCCCTGCTCTAACTCAAATATACGATAGCCGGTAGCAGATAAAAAAGGGAGTTCAAGAGAAACTTCTTTACGCACGGGGTGGTGAAAATGTGGAATTCACTGGTGGAAGCTATGGTTGAAGCAGAAAGCATTAATGTATTTAAGAGAAAACTTGATGTGTACGTGAAGGAGAAGGGACCACAATATAAAATTACATTTGTATATTGTCATGTCGGGTAGACGTCCCAATGCACTGGACAGTCAGGGATTTGGACCCCGAGCTGGTGGTCAGGATCGGGGAAAGTGAAGGGTGGCCAAAGGCTCGATCCAACAGAAGGGTTTTGAGACACAGTCTTACTCTCCTCCTGTAACCTACAGGCTTTCATCCTCAACTTTAACTTAGCATCACGCAACCACCAGAAGCACTCGTTTCATTTGTCCGCTCACCCACTCTTTGACTGCGGTGGTGGTGTCCTGCGTTACAGCTTCGGTCAGCACTTAACCTGGGTTCATTAGTAAAAATAAATTCCGCTATTTTGTCACAATCCTCATTTCAGTAAAACCCAGGCGTGTGTCTTTTGGGTGCACAATCGACACAGTGCAACAGAGTACTGCAATGAGGAGCAGTGCCAGTGGTCAGCCTGAGGCAAACTTACACACTTCTGGGAAGTAGGAGGATGAAATGAAAAAATAAAAGCAGAGGCATTAAACCAAGGCCCATTCAGGTGGACATTAAAGATCCCACGGCACTATTTGGGAAAGGGACTTACTCCTAGTGTCCAGGCCAACAATTCTCCAGAAACCTCCAGATTGTACCAAGTACAAAAAGCCAGTCAGTCACTACACTGGTCAATATATTACTGTAAATGACTGAGACCGTAACATATGAGGTGCTATAAAAATGCAATTTTTTTCTCTCTATTTTTGGAATGAAGAATTCCAGTTTGGTTGTAAAACCACAATTATGAGCTGAAGCGGTTCAGGGTGCCGCCTAGTTTTCACATGTCTGAGCCGCTCACTGCAACTGGAGAGCCTAAACATAAACATGTACTTTAGGCACCGAATCGATAACAGATGAATAAATTAGCTCCACCAGGAAAATTCCAAGAGTGAATTAATCCAGCCCACCGCTGTGCAGTCAAATTGTTCAGACATTGTCTGAAATTTTAAGAGACGTTTCTTTCAGTACGTCAGCTCGATAGCAAGTTTTGCAATCGGCCTCAGATATTTTTGTTTTGGGCTTTAAATGAAAGTCATGAATCATTAACACCATCTTGCTCAGCCAAACAGTGACTTTTCAGATCTGAGCAAGTCCAATGAATTTGATTCTTTGTCACCCTGCAAAGAGATTTTCAGAAAGGCAAATGGATCACAGTAGAGTTGAGAGGGATAGCTCATAGGCCGCAATAGGGATATTAAAGCACCCTCTTCAACAACCCTAAAAAAAATGCAATACACAAGAGAATAAACAAATGCATGATAACTGCAAGGATCAAATTCACTTTGTTCATTTAAGCACAAAATTCTTTTATGATTTTTTTTCAAAACGATAAATCACTAATGTTGAAAATTTTAACTTTAATTGAACACCATTGCAAAAGTTCATCTTTGCTTGAAAACCCTAGTGGCCAACTATTAGGTGGATGCATAAAAAATGTTATATCTGATTAGCATCACATTTGGTGAACATGTGTTCTGAAATATTCATTTAAGTGATCACTTTAGATGCCTCATCTTCAGCCTGGCCGCCAGTAATGTGACTTTAATAAGAGAGAATTACAAAAATCGCAGCAATCTCATCACTTGTGACTATCAATACCAGTTGCTCTAACCACTCTATCCCCAGGACTCCAATGGGGATATGAAAGCATTGAGACAAAGGGGATATGAAAGCATGTAAAAACAGCCTAAATTTGAGTAAGCAGGTTCAGGTATGGCTCTCACTGTGTGAAGGAATGTGTCAACAGTCCACATTAAGGCTGAATTTGGGATTACAAGGATTATTATTGTGTTATGTTCTGTTACGGAAAGACGATGCTCAGTGCTGCAGTACCCTGAGATTCTAGTCACCAGTGCAGTGTCCAGGCAGCGGCTGATAATCGGTAATGCAGCTTGGTTTTTAATCTAACCACACTGCACGATTGCTTTCTGTGCGCATGTTCCTCTGGATCATAGAATCACAAACACTTACAGCACAGGAGGCTATTTGGCCCATTGAGTCTGCTCTCCGAGCAAGGTACACTATCAATCCCATTTCCCTGCCCTACCCCCATACCCCTTTATGTTTCTTTCATATACCTAACCACTACCCTCTTGAAATCTACAATGGACTGTGACTACCATCTTACTTAGAAGGGAATTTCATATCCCAACAACTCTAACACATTCTACTGATTTTGTTTCTTACGTTTGTTAAGATTGGGAGGATGTCTCAAAGCATTTCACAGCATTTGCTGTAAAAGTGGCTATGTAGTTTGTAGGTGAATGCAGTATCCAAGTTACGCACAGCAATGTCTCACAACCAAGCTCTCTTTACGCTCTTCTTGCGGATGGATCACATTTTTACAAAATGTAAAGAATTTTGTTCAAGGCTAAAAGCTCAAAACTGGCCACCCCCCCAAAGATCAAGATTTCAAACGCTCTCCCTAATAGGGGTAAAGGAGCTTCAGACAGACTATACTCACTTTAGTGTCGGAGCTGTACTGTGCCCGGCTTTTCTTAAATGTAACTGGTACCACAAGCATTGCCCGTGTACTTTTCCTAATGTCTTTATCCTGCGTTTCTCTGTTCAAAGAAAAAAAGAGAATGAAACTGGTTATTTGCTGACAAAAATTATATTCTTCAGTTCATTTCCTTCCACCTTAGAGAAGGGAAGCCAGGGAACTCATTCCCAGACGCTTGGTCATCTCACTTCCAACCTTGATCTATGGAGAGATTGTTGATCCTGGTTAGGATGCCACCTGTGAACTAGAATTTTTGCTTCAAAACCCCTCCTACAACAACATCAACAAAATTACATTTGTATAGCACCTTTCACATCGGGAGGACATCCCAAGGTGCTGGACAGACACAGTTTCGGACCCGAGCTGAGGGTTAGGGAGGGTGGAGGGTAGGGGCAGAAGCAGGGAGGTCAAAAGCACAGTCGAAGAGGAGGGCCTTGAGATGGATCTTGAAGGAGGCAAGGGAGGGGGCGAGGTGGAGGGACTGTGGAATAGAGTTCCAGAGGGTGCAGGCAGAGTGGCAGACGGTCTGCCCGCTAATAGTGGGGCTAGCGAGGTGGGGAACGTGAAGCAAGCCGGAGCCCGCTGAACGGAAGGAGCGAGCGGGATGGTAGGAGGTTTGGAGATCGCAGAGGTAGGGGAGAAGCAAGGCCATGGAGGGCTTTGAAGGTGAGGACCAAGATCTTGGAACTGCATCCTCTGTGTGATGGGAAGCCATTGGAGTTGGGCAACAACAACATGCATTTATATGGAGCCCATCACGAAGGGTAGCACCCCAGAGCCCTTGAAAAAGAATCAGGGGAAAGAAATAGCACATGGGAGGCATGCACAGGTTGGTTGCCAGTGCCTCAGAGAGATGAGGAGCAAAATTGTAAATGTGAGAGAAAAATGGCACTTTGATTAAGATTCAACCTCCATCCCCTGCACCCATAAACAAATTGGCATTCCTTCAAGACTGCTTGTGGGACATTGCTGTGCCTGTATTGGCTGCTGCATTCACCTACAAAATACACAGCAATCACATTAATGTAAATTCTAGAAAGTGCTTTGAGACATTCTTCCAACATGAAAGATGCTATACCAACAACAACAACAACAACAAGATTCCATTTATAAAGCGCCTTTCACGTCAGGAGGACGCCCCAAGGCGCTGCACAGTTGGGTCAGGACCCGAGCAGGGGGGAAATGGTCAGGGTGAGGGGAGGGAAGGGAGGGAGCAAGGAGGGGGAAATGGTCAGGGTGAGGGGAGGGAAGGGAGGGAGCGAGGAGGGGGAAGAGAGTCGAGAGGGGAGCTGAAGGCACGGTCAAAGAGAATACCAAATATAAGGATTATAATACAATCATTACTCTCTTTGGAGCTGCCACAAAATATTTCTCAAAGTTCATCGCTTGTTTTACATTTTCATGCCAGTGCTTTTAGCTGGAACCTACAGTTACAGGAGGTTGGCCTTGAGTTGGAACAAGCTTCTCTGATGTAGCCCATCTGGTTACAAGAAGAAATTCCTTGCAGCTTATTTCCATATAGGAACAGCAAAATCATCAAAGCCTTCAGCGTGTATGAATCTGTGCCTGGCATGTATGCCAATGAGGTTACCAGAGGCAAACTCAGAAGTTTGTAATGAGTCATTTTGTTTGAAATAAAATCCCCTCCTCTCACTTTTACAATCAGAATTTACAATTAGATTTAGAGGATCAAGATAGATTCAGGAATCATGTAACCATTGCAACCTCACCAGGAGGATCACTATCCCCCTCCCCTCCCAAAAACTGATATTTTCTTGCATCAGGAACAGGTATCTAGCTTATAAGCAATGAAGCAATGAATTTGCTTATAAACAAAGGCATTACTTCATTGATCTCGTATCACAGGAGAGTTTCGGGTGCAGAGGAATTTTGCCCTATTTGATCTCATCCTCACTGTCCTTTCTGTTTACCATTATAGCATCAAATCATCTTTTAAATGTGTCCAGCGCTCTGGCCTCTATCTTTCTTACTCGCAAACTATTCCAGCTTTTCATTACCCCTTCTCCCAAGTCCCCACCACCGGTAAAGCAACACTTCCATGATGCGTATTCTAAAATGGCCTTTCACAATTTTGAACATGTGTCTAACCTAACAAGATGTCTGCAGTTCAATTTACATGAGATACACATTGCAATTGTTGTGCATTTCCTCATATATTGGTGCATTTGTTCCCTTCCTCCCATTAGTAGAGCAGCTTTCGAATGTCACTTACACTACTGCCTATCAGCCTGACTTGTATTGCACCGTGACAAGTGATTAGGGCCAAGTGAAAAGCCCTATCACATGTTAAGAAAGAAACCAACTATGTTACGCTCATTAGCGTAACATTACCGTGCCTTCAGCTCCCCTCTCGACTCTCTACCCCCTCCTCGCTCCCTCCCTTCCCTCCCCTCACCCTGACCATTTCCCCCCTGCTCGGGTCCCGACCCAACTGTCCAGCGCCTGACGTGAAAGGCGCTCTATAAATGCAATCATGTTGTTGTTAGTCGGTTTCTCACTCAGAGATGAATGCCTGGAGGCCTGAGTTAGGGAGCAACAAAACTGTCTGTTTCCCCCATCCATTTTCACCCAAAACGTAAGTAACTTTGAGAGCAGGCAAACATTGCTGTAGTTCATTTGGCCATGATATACAGAACCATGGCCTATGAATACCAGTATCTATTCCCAGACAGGCTATTGTTTTAGAATATGTTAGTGTCAGCCTGGCTCAGTTGGTAGGACCCTCATCTCCGAATCAGAAAGTTGTGGGATCAAGCTCTACGACGAGAATTTGAATTCAGTCTGGGGAATCAGGGAAATTCAAACAATTTCCACGTCTACTGCCACACTCATTTTTTGCTGCATGGGTGTTTTGTTAACAATGTCCCATTGACATGCCTCTGGATGGAAGACTTATTGGTAACTTGCAGGATATCATGCAAACTACTATATGATAGCAAAGGTCAGTTCACAGAGCCAGAACTGGGAGAGGAAGGAATGAAGGAAAAACATTAGAGAATGCATCATGCCCAGGCAATGTGTACCACACTCTAGTGACCTTGAGCACTTTGAGACATCTAGAAGACATGAAAAGCGCTATATCAAATGCAAGGATTATTATTTATTATTTTAGTGACTATTGCATAGACATCAGTAAAACCTTAATAGGAAACGGTAGGAAAAAGAGGGAGAAAAGCCGCAGAATTAATTGTAAATCAGCGTTTGGATAGAACCGATCAATGCACTTTGATTATATCTGCTAAAGCAGCACAGTCATTTTAGTTCTGGTAAGTTCTCCATGACCCCGGTGACAAGGCTGTAGTTGTGATAGCTCTTTTTGAGTCATTATTTATAGGGTGACCCCAGAACAAATTAAAGCTTCAAAATACACACCGCCATCTCAATCTATTTTCCTACATCAGATAAAATGAGTTGATATAGTGTGTAATGGGAGATCAAGCTCTGGCCAGATAATTTATTCAGGGGATCGCAAGCTACAGCGTATCCCTCCAGGTCTTTGCTTTCAGATATGTAGGTACTATATTTGCATTTCCTACGGCAACACGACTGAACTGAAATGACCTTCTGCAAATTCGTGGAATCTGAGCTTGAGCCTCAGCTCAATTGTTCAATAAACAAACATGTTCCCTTTTGCCAGGTTCTTTAAAAAATAGAATAAAGGTTGGTTACAACCTGAATTCAAGCTACTTCAACTTCTCAGCTCAATCTCAATCTGACCCATTTACCTGATTTATATTAAAATTAGGCATGCATCCGAGAATATGGGGGGAAGTCAGAGAGGAAATAGTAAATGCCCTGACTAAAATATTTCGAACATCCTTGGGAATCTAAATTTGTGCCAGGAGACTGGAGGGCAGTTAATGTAATGCCTCCACTTAAAAACATAGAATGAGACCAGCCAAATAATTATAGACTAACCGGTCAACCTAACAGTCATAGGGGGCAAACTTTTAGATGCTATAATATGTGATGATATTAATCGGTTGATTAAAGACAGTCGGCATGGATTTATTAAACATAGGTCTTGCCTGACAAATCTAATAAGAGTTTTTTGATGAGATAACCGAGAAAATAGATGCAGGTAATGCTATGGATTTTGTATACATGGATTTTCTGAAAGTTTTTATAAGACCCTGCGTAGGAGGCTTGTTAAAAAAAATAGGGTGCATAGTATTAATGAAAAGGTAGCAACATGGGTATAAAGTTGGTTAAAGGATAGGAAACCGGGTGAGAGTATGGGTTGTTATTCGCAATGGAGAGATATAAACAGTGGTGTCCCCCAGGAATCAGTATATGGGCCCCTGCTTTTCTCCATTTATGTAAATGATCTAGGTTCTGGTGTTAGGGGCACAATTTCTAAGTTTGCAGATGATATGAAAATAGGGAGTGAAGCTAACAATGAAAAAGATTCAATGAAGAACATAGACAGATTTGTTGATTGGACAGAGAAATGGCAAATTATATTTAATGTGGTCAAGTGTGAAGTTATACACTTTGGGAGGAAGAATAAGGAGAACAAGTATATGTTGCTTGGTAAAATATTAAAAGGAGTCGAAGAGCTAAGGGACTTGGGAGTTAATGTACATAAATCCTTACAGGTGGGAAGGCAGGTGGGCAATGCTGTCAAAAAAGCTACTGGAACCTTACAACAACAATTTGCATTTATACAGCACATCCACACGGGGTAGCATCCTGGAGCGCTTGAGTTTTATAAATAGGGGCATAGAATGCAAAAGCAAAGAGGTAATGCTAAATTTATATAAATTATTAGTTAGACTGCAGTTGGAATATTGTGTCCAGTATTGTTCACCCCACTTTTAGAAAGATATCAAGGCAATAGACTGGGTGTAGAGAAGATTTACTAGGATGTTACCGGGATGAGTGGTTTGGCTTATGAGTGGAGACTGGAGGAACTGGGACTTTTTCCGCTGGAAGAAAGAAGATGTAGAGGTGACCTGTTGGAGGCCTTTAAAATTATGAGGAGTTTTGATAGTCAATATTTCCGCGGATCAGTGAGTCAGACTAGAGGGCATGAATTTA